CCCCTGTACCGCCCTCATGCTGCTGCCAGGCCCCGTAATCTGTCATGGGCCCCTGTACCGCCTCCTCCTCCCATGCTGCTGCCAGGTCCAGTGTGTCATGGGTCCCTGTACGGCCTCCCATTGCTGCTGCTGCCATCGCCACACTCTGCCATGTGCCACTTTCAGGTCTCCTCACACTGCTGGTGGGTTCCATTTTGTCATAGGGTGCTGGCAGATTACGGGCCTCCCATTTTTGCATGCTGCCAGCGCCCGTAATCTGCCCCGTATGGGCCCCTGTACCGCCTCCTCATGCTGCTGCCAGGTCCAGAGTGTGTCATGGGTCCCTGTACGGCCTCCCATTGCTGCTGTCTCCATCGCCACACTCTGCCATGTGCCACTTTCAGGTCTCCTCACACTGCTGGTGGGTTCCATTTTGTCATAGGGTGCTGGCAGATTACGGGCCTCCCATTGCTGCTGCCAGGCCCGTAATCTGCCATGGGCCCCTGTACCGCCTCCTCCTCATGCTGCTGCCAGGCCCCCCCTGTAATCTGTCATGGGTCCCTGTACGGCCTCCCATTGCTGCTGTCTCCATCGCCACACTCTGCCATGTGCCACTTTCAGGTCTCCTCACACTGCTGGTGGGTTCCATTTTGTCATAGGGTGCTGGCAGATTACGGGCCTCCCATTGCTGCTGCCAGGCCCGTAATCTGCCATGGGCCCCTGTACCGCCTCCTCCTGCTGCTGCCAGGTCCAGAGTGTGTCATGGGTCCCTGTACGGCCTCCCATTGCTGCTGTCTGTCTCCATCGCCACACTCTGCCATGTGCCACTTTCAGGTCTCCTCACACTGCTGGTGGGTTCCATTTTGTCATAGGGTGCTGGCAGATTACGGGCCTCCCATTGCTGCTGCCAGGCCCGTAATCTGCATGGGCCCCTGTACCGCCTCCTCATGCTGCTGCCAGGTCCAGAGTCTGTCATGGGTCCCTGTACGGCCTCCCATTGCTGCTGTCTCCATCGCCACACTCTGCCATGTGCCACTTTCAGGTCTCCTCACACTGCTGGTGGGTTCCATTTTGTCATAGGGTGCTGGCAGATTACGGGCCTCCCATTGCTGCTGCCAGGCCCGTAATCTGCCATGGGCCCCTGTACCGCCTCCTCCTCATGCTGCTGCCAGGTCCAGAGTCTGTCATGGGTCCCTGTACGGCCTCCCATTGCTGCTGTCTCCATCGCCACACTCTGCCATGTGCCACTTTCAGGTCTCCTCACACTCACACTGCTGGTTTCCATTTTGTCATAGGGTGCTGGCAGATTACGGGCCTCCCATTGCTGCTGCCAGCCAGCCCGTAATCTGCCATGGGCCCCTGTACCGCCCTCCTCATGCTGCTGCCAGGTCCAGAGTGTGTCATGGGTCCCTGTACGGCCTCCCATTGCTGCTGTCTCCATCGCCACACTCTGCCATGTGCCACTTTCAGGTCCTCACACTGCTGGTGGGTTCCATTTTGTCATAGGGTGCTGGCAGATTACGGGCCTCCCATTGCTGCTGCCAGGCCCGTAATCTGTCATGGGCCCCTGTACCGCCTCCTCATGCTGCTGCCAGGTCCAGAGTGTCTCTGTCATGGGTCCCTGTACGGCCTCCCATTGCTGCTGTCTCCATCGCCACACTCTGCCATGTGCCACTTTCAGGTCTCCTCACACTGCTGGTGGGTTCCATTTTGTCATAGGGTGCTGGCAGATTACGGGCCTCCCATTGCTGCTGCCAGGCCCGTAATCTGCTGGGCCCCCGCCCCTGTACCGCCTCCTCATGCTGCTGCCAGGTCAGAGGTGTCATGGGTCCCTGTACGGCCTCCCATTGCTGCTGTCTCCATCGCCACACTCTGCCATGTGCCACTTTCAGGTCTCCTCACACTGCTGGTGGGTTCCATTTTGTCATAGGGTGCTGGCAGATTACGGGCCTCCCATTGCTGCTGCCAGGCCCGTAATCTGCCATGGGCCCCTGTACCGCCTCCTCATGCTGCTGCCTCATGCTGCCCAGGTCCAGAGTCTGTCATGGGTCCCTGTACGGCCTCCCATTGCTGCTGTCTCCATCGCCACACTCTGCCATGTGCCACTTTCAGGTCTCCTCACACACTGCTGGTGGGTTCCATTTTGTCATAGGGTGCTGGCAGATTACGGGCCTCCCATTGCTGCTGCCAGGCCCGTAATCTGCCATGGGCCCCTGTACCGCCTCCTCATGCTGCTGCCAGGTCCAGTAGTGTCTGTCATGGGTCCCTGTACGGCCTCCCATTGCTGCTGTCTCCATCGCCACACTCTGCCATGTGCCACTTTCAGGTCTCCTCACACTGCTGGTGGGTTCCATTTTGTCATAGGGTGCTGGCAGATTACGGGCCTCCCATTGCTGCTGCCAGGCCCGTAATCTGCCCATGGGCCCCTGTCATGGGCCCCTGTACCGCCTCCTCATGCTGCTGCCAGGCCAGTAATCTGTCATGGGTCCCTGTACGGCCTCCCATTGCTGCTGTCTCCATCGCCACACTCTGCCATGTGCCACTTTCAGGTCTCCTCACACTGCTGGTGGGTTCCATTTTGTCATAGGGTGCTGGCAGATTACGGGCCTCCCATTGCTGCTGCCAGGCCCGTAATCTGCCATGGGCCCCCCGTACCGCCTCCTCATGCTGCTGCCAGGTCCGTAGAGTCTCTCATGGGTCCCTGTACGGGTCCCTGTACGGCCTCCCATTGCTGCTGTCTCCATCGCCACACTCTGCCATGTGCCACTTTCAGGTCTCCTCACACTGCTGGTGGGTTCCATTTTGTCATAGGGTGCTGGCAGATTACGGGCCTCCCATTGCTGCTGCCAGGCCCGTAATCTGCCATGGGCCCCCGTACCGCCTCCTCATGCTGCTGCCAGGCCCGTGCCGCCTCCTCATGCTGCTGCCAGGTCCGTAATCTGTCATGGGTCCCTGTACGGCCTCCCATTGCTGCTGTCTCCATCGCCACACTCTGCCATGTGCCACTTTCAGGTCTCCTCACACTGCTGGTGGGTTCCATTTTGTCATAGGGTGCTGGCAGATTACGGGCCTCCCATTGCTGCTGCCAGGCCCGTAATCTGCCATGGGCCCCTGTACCGCCTCCTCATGCTGCTGCCAGGTCCAGAGTCTGTCATGGGTCCCTGTACGGCCTCCCCATTGCTGCTGTCTCCATCGCCACACCACACTGCCATGTGTGCCACTTTCAGGTCTCCTCACACTGCTGGTGGGTTCCATTTTGTCATAGGGTGCTGGCAGATTACGGGCCTCCCATTGCTGCTGCCAGGCCCGTAATCTGCCATGGGCCCCTGTACCGCCTCCTCATGCTGCTGCCAGGCCCGTAATCTGTCATGGGTCCCTGTACGGCCTCCCATTGCTGCTGTCTCCATCGCCACACTCTGCCATGTGCCACTTTCAGGTCTCCTCACACTGCTGGTGGGTTCCATTTTGTCATAGGGTGCTGGCAGATTACGGGCCTCCCATTGCTGCTGCCAGGCCCGTAATCTGCCATGGGCCCCCGTACCGCCTCCTCATGCTGCTGCTGCCAGGTCCAGAGTGTGTCATGGGTCCCTGTACGGCCTCCCATTGCTGCTGTCTCCATCGCCACACTCTGCCATGTGCCACTTTCAGGTCTCCTCACACACTGCTGGTGGGTTTCCATTTTGTCATAGGGTGCTGGCAGATTACGGGCCTCCCATTGCTGCTGCCAGGCCCGTAATCTGCCATGGGCCCCTGTACCGCCTCCTCATGCTGCTGCCCTCCTCAGGTCCAGAGTAATCTGTCATGGGTCCCTGTACGGCCTCCCATTGCTGCTGTCTCCATCGCCACACTCTGCCATGTGCCACTTTCAGGTCTCCTCACACTGCTGGTGGGTTCCATTTTGTCATAGGGTGCTGGCAGATTACGGGCCTCCCATTGCTGCTGCCAGGCCCGTAATCTGCCATGGGCCCCCTGTACCGCCTCCTCATGCTGCTGCCAGGTCCAGAGTGTGTCATGGGTCCCTGTACGGCCTCCCATTGCTGCTGTCTCCATCGCCACACTCTGCCATGTGCCACTTTCAGGTCTCCTCACACTGCTGGTGGGTTTCCATTTTGTCATAGGGTGCTGGCAGATTACGGGCCTCCCATTGCTGCTGCCAGGCCCGTAATCTGCCATGGGCCCCCGTACCGCCTCCTCATGCTGCTGCCAGGCCAGTAATCTGTCATGGGTCCCTGTACCCTCCCTGCTGTGTCTGCTGCCATGGGTCTCCCACACTGCTGTACGGCCTCCTTGCCATCCCATTGCTGGCTGTCTCCATCGCCACACTCTGCCATGTGCCACTCCTTCCATCTGCTCACACTGCTCTGCCATTGCCACTTTCAGGTCTCCTCACACTGCTGGGTGGGTTCCATTTTGCTGTCATAGGGTGCTGGCAGATTACGGGCCTCCCATTGCTGCTGCCAGGCCCGTAATCTGCCATGGGCCCCTGTACCGCCTCCTCATGCTGCTGCCAGGGTCCAGAAGTCTGTCTCATGGGTCCCTGTACGGCCTCCCATTGCTGCTGTCTCCATCGCCACACTCTGCCATGTGCCACTTTCAGGTCTCCTCACACTGCTGGTGGGTTCCATTTTGTCATAGGGTGCTGGCAGATTACGGGCCTCCCATTGCTGCTGCCAGGCCCGTAATCTGCCATGGGCCCCCCGTACCGCCTCCTCATGCTGCTGCTGCCAGGCCAGGTCCAGAGTGTCTCATGGGTCCCTGTACGGCCTCCCATTGCTGCTGTCTCCATCGCCACACTCTGCCATGTGCCACTTTCAGGTCTCCTCACACTGCTGGTGGGTTCCATTTTTTTGTCATAGGGTGCTGGCAGATTACGGGCCCCATCCCATTGCTGCTGCCAGGCCCGTAATCTGCCATGGGCCCCTGTACCCGCCTCCTCATCTGCTGCTGCCAGGCCAGTCCAAGTCTGTCATGGGTCCCTGTACGGCCTCCCATTGCTGCTGTCTCCATCGCCACACTCTGCCATGTGCCACTTTCAGGTCTCCTCACACTGCTGGTGGGTTCCATTTTGTCATAGGGTGCTGGCAGATTACGGGCCTCCCATTGCTGCTGCCAGGCCCGTAATCTGCCATGGGCCCCTGTACCGCCTCCTCATGCTGCTGCCAGGTCCAGAGTGTGTCATGGGTCCCTGTACGGCCTCCCATTGCTGCTGTCTCCATCGCCACACTCTGCCATGTGCCACTTTCAGGTCTCCTCACACTGCTGGTGGGTTCCATTTTGTCATAGGGTGCTGGCAGATTACGGGCCTCCCATTGCTGCTGCCAGGCCCGTAATCTGCCATGGGCCCCCGTACCGCCTCCTCATGCTGCTGCCAGCCCAGAGTGTCTCATGGGTCCCTGTGTACGGCCTCCCATTGCTGCTGTCTCCATCGCCACACTCTGCTGCATGTGCCACTTTCAGGTCTCCTCACACTGCTGGTGGGTTCCATTTTGTCATAGGGTGCTGGCAGATTACGGGCCTCCCATTGCTGCTGCCAGGCCGTAATCTGCCATGGGCCCCTGTACCGCCTCCTCATGCTGCTGCCAGGTCCAGAGTGTGTCATGGGTCCCTGTACGGCCTCCCATTGCTGCTGTCTCCATCGCCACACTCTGCCATGTGCCACTTTCAGGTCTCCTCACACTGCTGGTGGGTTCCATTTTGTCATAGGGTGCTGGCAGATTACGGGCCTCCCATTGCTGCTGCCAGGCCCGTAATCTGCCATGGGCCCCTGTACCGCCTCCTCATGCTGCTGCCAGGTCCCAGTAGTGTGTCATGGGTCCCTGTACGGCCTCCCATTGCTGCTGTCTCCATCGCCACACTCTGCCATGTGCCACTTTCAGGTCTCCTCACACTGCTGGTGGGTTCCATTTTGTCATAGGGTGCTGGCAGATTACGGGCCTCCCATTGCTGCTGCCAGGCCCGTAATCTGCCATGGGCCCCTGTACCCGCCTCCTCTCCTCATGCTGCTGCCAGGTCCAGAGTCTCATGGGTCCCTGTACGGCCTCCCATTGCTGCTGTCTCCATCGCCACACTCTGCCATGTGCCACTTTCAGGTCTCCTCACACACTGCTGGTGGGTTCCATTTTGTCATAGGGTGCTGGCAGATTACGGGCCTCCCATTGCTGCTGCCAGGCCCGTAATCTGCCATGGGCCCCTGTACCGCCTCCTCATGCCTGCTGCCAGGTCCGTAATCTGTCATGGGTCCCTGTACGGCCTCCCATTGCTGCTGTCTCCATCGCCACACTCTGCCATGTGCCACTTTCAGGTCTCCTCACACTGCTGGTGGGTTCCATTTTGTCATAGGGTGCTGGCAGATTACGGGCCTCCCATTGCTGCTGCCAGGCCCGTAATCTGCCATGGGCCCCCGTACCGCCCTCATGTACCGCCTCCTCATGCTGCTGCCAGGTCCAGAGTGTCTCATGGGTCCCTGTACGGCCTCCCATTGCTGCTGTCTCCATCGCCACACTCTGCCATGTGCCACTTTCAGGTCTCCTCACACTGCTGGTGGGTTCCATTTTGTCATAGGGTGCTGGCAGATTACGGGCCTCCCATTGCTGCTGCCCAGGCCCGTAATCTGCCATGGGCCCCTGTACCGCCTCCTCATGCTGCTGCCAGGCCAGGGGGCCCGTAATCTGTCATGGGTCCCTGTACGGCCTCCCATTGCTGCTGTCTCCATCGCGCCACACTCTGCCATGTGCCACTTTCAGGTCTCCTCACACTGCTGGTGGGTTCCATTTTGTCATAGGGTGCTGGCAGATTACGGGCCTCCCATTGCTGCTGCCAGGCCCGTAATCTGCCATGGGCCCCTGTCCGCCTCCTCATGCTGCTGCCAGGTCCAGAGTGTGTCATGGGTCCCTGTACGGCCTCCCATTGCTGCTGTCTCCATCGCCACACTCTGCCATGTGCCACTTTCAGGTCTCCTCACACTGCTGGTGGGTTCCATTTTGTCATAGGGTGCTGGCAGATTTACGGGCCTCCCATTGCTGCTGCCAGGCCCGTAATCTGTCATGGGCCCCTGTACCGCCTCCTCATGCTGCTGCCAGGTCCAGAGTGTCTCATGGGTCCCTGTACGGCCTCCCATTGCTGCTGTCTCCATCGCCACACTCTGCCATGTGCCACTTTCAGGTCTCCTCACACTGCTGGTGGGTTCCATTTTGTCATAGGGTGCTGGCAGATTACGGGCCTCCCATTGCTGCTGCCAGGCCCGTAATCTGTCATGGGCCCCTGTACCGCCTCCCTCCTCATGCTGCTGCCAGGTCCAGAGTGTGTCATGGGTCCCTGTACGGCCTCCCATTGCTGCTGTCTCCATCGCCACACTCTGCCATGTGCCACTTTCAGGTCTCCTCACACTGCTGGTGGGTTCCATTTTTTCATAGGGTGCTGGCAGATTACGGGCCTCCCATTGCTGCTGCCAGGCCCGTAATCTGTCATGGGCCCCTGTACCGCCTCCTCATGCTGCTGCCAGGTCCAGAGTGTGTCATGGGTCCCTGTACGGCCTCCCATTGCTGCTGTCTCCATCGCCACACTCTGCCATGTGCCACTTTCAGGTCTCCTCACACTGCTGGTGGGTTCCATTTTGTCATAGGGTGCTGGCAGATTACGGGCCTCCCATTGCTGCTGCCAGGCCCGTAATCTGCCATGGGCCCCTGTACCGCCTCCTCATGCTGCTGCCAGGTCCAGAGTGTGTCATGGGTCCCTGTACGGCCTCCCATTGCTGCTGTCTCCATCGCCACACTCTGCTATGTGCCACTTTCAGGTCTCCATTGCTGCGGCCAGGCCCGTAATCTGCCATGGGCCCCTGTACCGCCTCCTCATGCTGCTGCCAGGTCCAGAGTGTGTCATGGGTCCCTGTACGGCCTCCCATTGCTGCTGTCTCCATCGCCACACTCTGCCATGTGCCACTTTCAGGTCTCCTCACACTGCTGGTGGGTTCCATTTTTTCATAGGGTGCTGTATGGCCTCCCATTGCTGCTGCCTCCACCGCCACACTGTGGCTCCACACTCTGGTTTTGGCCCCGTGACTGCCCAAATGAGTGAAGTGTGCGGTGATTCTAAGATCGACGGCACTCATCTGCATGTCATACTGACTGACAGTATTATTTCTCTTCCCCAGCAGACTCCAAGGGCATTTAAATTAAAGGTACAGTGTTCTGCACTAATATAAAGGCTCTCTGAAGCCTAGAAACACCCTTTTTATAAGTTAAATTCGCAGCGAATATATTCGACTCGAATCGAATTTATTCCGCGAATTCGCCGAATCAAATTTTTGAATACTTCGCTCATCTCTAATTGAGATACATAGCAGAGGTTCAAGGTTCTTCCTAACTATACAGGTGGCACAGACACAAGCATACACCCAGGGCCACTGTTAGATATCACGGGGCCCCGTACAGCATACCTGACAGCCCCCCCACCGCCAGAGAAAATATCCAAATTATATTTATGGTAAAAATACACTAAAAACATTATTAATGGACATAATCCCAACCAAATTCCTGTGAAATCTAAATGCTAAAACTGTACTGAGTTCATAAATAAAGCTGTGTGTGTAATTGAGGTCTTGGGGCTCATGGGTGCTGTGGCCTGTAGAGTGGGAAACAGTGGTTTGTTTTTGTGGCTATCGCCGTTTGCAGGAAACATATGTTACACTATGGAAATGCTGCAGGTCTTAATTTGACAAGCATATGGGTGCAGGTGTACAGCCCTGCACACAGACAGTGAGCATTCAGGGCCACTTCCCCATGCCTTCACACCTGTCAGATTAAAACCTGTGTTCATACAGCTGCTGTGTCCCCATAGTGTAACAGGTGTTTCCAGCCACATGAACAACCCCCTCATTTATGCTGTACAAGCCAGAGGACCTATGTGAATGGGGAATTTTTTACTTTTTTTTTCCCCCAGCTCATTAATTTTAATGGGCTGCCTAACGTGTGGGAACATGCAAAAATACTGCAGGCATATTATTTTAAAAGTGTGTTGTACCTAACTGCACAGTAGTGTGGTGCCATGCGTTTTGGTGGCTGTGAATGCCTCTGTGTTTACTAGACATGTGGAGGTGCAATTCAGTTTTCACCATGGTACCTGCGCACATCTGCAAAGGGCATTGCATTTCTTTGCTGTACTGGAAAAAACATGCTCTTGCATGCGTTTCTGCAAAACAAATGGTGTGAACAAGTCCTAAGGGTCAGTTCACAATATAGAAACACAGTCTAGATGTGTTCCAGATGTTTTTGCATGCACTTTTTTGATGCATGTTTAGCGTGTTCCAGTGCATTTTGGATGTGTTTTTGATGTGTTCCAGTGCATTTTTTTATGCATTCCAGTTAATTTTTTTCCCCTCTCTTTTTCTTAAATTTAATTAGGGATATGTGCGGTTTAGTGCATTCCAGGGCGTTTTACCGCGTTCCAGTACAGTTCTATGCATAAGCAAAACAGCCTGTTCGCCTTTTTTGACAGCACCTGCAAAGCACTGGAACTGCAAGCGCTGATGTGAACTATGACATTGACAACCATATAACCTTTCTGTGCATTTTGGATGCAAAAAAAGCAACTGAAACACATGTAGTGTGAACTGGCCCTAAAGGTTATTATAGGTCAGGGAACAGGACTGACCAGGAATTGTGAATTCAATCAGATTAGTGGTGAGATACAGGATCAGGAATCCTATAATAATGCGAGATCTGAGCTGGAGGTGATAGGAAATGAGACACATTAACTTGATCAGTAAATAAATAGTTAAATAAAAAGATTGGGGCGCGGGATACATAGACTGGCAGATGGAACAGGTGATGGTGGGGGAGGGGACAAGTATAAGGAGAGAGGTTTAAGCGTTCATTCACACTTGACTTTATTTCTAACTCTTGCCAAATGGCCCTATAGTGTTTGGGAAGCATTTTTAATGCTCCTCAAATGCTCCCGAAACGCCCTATGTGCGGTTTTGAGGCATGTGATAAGCATTTACCAAGCGTTAAAACTGCGCCACAAATGCCTGTAATGAAGTTAAATGGTATTAACGCTCCGAAAATGCCTCGCAACCACACCACAAACGTCTGCCAGGCATTTGCAGAGCGGCACCATAGACTTGAATGGGAGGCTTCAACTCCTCCTGACTTGACACGAGGCGTCAGTTTTGCCGTGACGCAATGCTAACGCTTCAGTGTGAACATCACTGTGTGCTGCCATGTGCAGAATTTTCATAGGCATTTGAGAAGCATAAAAAAACACTTCCCAAACACCTGTCTGACGCCTGCTGACAAAGCTAGTGTGAACATAGCCTTAGAGAAGATAAAGTTGTAATGAAATATAAACAAGGAAAATTGAAAGTTTCAAACTTGTCAGAAGAACAGGACGCGGACGATTTTGACTATCACTCAATTTTCCCGGCAATGATGGGCAAATCGGCCGATCGTTTTACCAATAAAAATATGCGCATGAGCCGTGTCCTGCAAGAAGAAGAAAAAAAGAAGAAGAAAAAGAAGAATTCCAGTCCGCTATTATATTTTACATGAAAAGTCTTGCTGTTGCAACAATGTATCTATTTGTATCCGAATAAAAACATCTGTATCCGAAATGGATACATTGTTGCAACCACAAGACTTTTCATGTAAAATATAATAGCGGAGCTCTCTGCAAGGGACCGAAGTAAAAATGCCGGCCATAGACGGGACGAAAATCGGCCAATTTTTTTATTGAACGACCGATTTTTTGTTTTAAAAAAAATGGCTGGTTTTTGACCCATCTATGGCCTGCATAAGACCAGAAACTCAGACATATACCAGGCCCAATTAACCTAACAGCATGTCTTTGGAGTGTTGGCAGAAACACACCTGTGCAGAGAAAGCATGCAAACTGAGATGCAGACAGGTGCAGCCATGACTGGGATTAGAACCCATGACCCACGTGCTGTAAGTTCTGAGTTCTAACCACTAAACCACTGAGGGAGACAGAGTTTGAGCTGCAATGTAGAATAGTTACATTGTTTAAAAATAATGATAAAGCATGCGCTGGTAAAAATTATATATAGACTACTAAAATGGTATTACACAAGATAAATATAAATCTAGGTATAGATATGAAGGTAGCAGCTAGCACTCAGGGTATTGGCAACAGTCCCAGAATAGAAATATGTTACAGTAATAGTGTAGCGCTATAAATGCATGTTATCAATCATAAATGCATGTAAAATAAAAAAAGTGCAAATAAGTGCAATAATTATGTAAACTGGTAAATGGTGATAAAAAAGTTCATATAATCATTCCTGAATAATGGAATGTCCTTCATGTGAAAGTACCAACTCAGAGATTGCCTATGAGTGGCACATGTGGTACTTATTTGCACGTTTTTGATTTTACATGTGTTTATGATTGATAACATGCATTTATAGCGCTGCACCATTACTTTAACATAGAATAGTTACATGATTAAAGAGAAGGAAGATACAGTCATGGCCGAAATTGTTGGCACCCTTGATATTTCTCCAGGAAATCATGTATTTCTCACGAAACGTATTGCATTAACACATGTTTTGCTATACACATGTTTATTCCCTTTGTGTGTATTGGGACAAAACAAAAAAAGGGAGGAAAGAAAGCAAATTCGACATAATGTCACACAAACCTCCAAAAATGGGCTGGACAAAAGTATTGGCACCCTTTCACAACTGCGGATAAATAAGAATGTTACAAGCATGTGATGCTCCTGTAAACTCACCTGGGGCAAGTAACAGGTGTGGGCAATATAGAAATCACACCTGAAAGCAGATAAAAAGGAGAGACGTTCACTTAACCTTTGCATTGTGTGTCTGTCTGTGCCACACTAAGCATGGACAACAGAAAGAGGAGACGAGAACTGTCTGAGGACCTGAGAACCAAAATTGTGGCAAAATATCAACAATCTCAAGGTTACAAAGTCCATCTCCAGAGAACTAGATTTGCCTTTGTCCACAGTGCGCAACATTATCAAGAAGTTTGCAACCCATGGCACTGTAGCTAATCTCCCTGGTCGTGGACGGATGAGGAAAATTGATGAAAGATTGCAACGCAGAATAGTCCGGATGGTGGATAAAGCAGCCCCAAACATGTTCCAAAGACATTCAAGCTGTCCTGCAGGCTCAGGGAGCATCAGTGTCAGCGCGAACTATCGTCGACATTTAAATGAAATGAAACGCTATGGCAGGAGACCCAGGAGGACCCCACTGCTGACACAGAGACATAAAAAAGCAAGACTACAGTTTGCCAAAATGTACTTGAGTAAGCCAAAAGCCTTCTGGGAAAACGTCTTGTGGACAGATGAGACCAAGATAGAGCTTTTCGGTAAAGCACATCATTCTACTGTTTACCGAAAACGGAATGAGGCCTACAAAGAACAAAACACAGTACCTACGGTAAAATATGGTGGAGGTTCAATGATGTTTTGGGGTTGTTTTGCTGCCTCTGGCACTGGGTGCCTTGACTGTGTGCAAGGCATCATGAAATCTGAGGATTACCAAAGGATTTTGGGTCGCACTGTAGGGCCCAGTGTCAGAAAGCTGGGTTTGCGTCCAAGATCCTGGGTCTTCCAGCAGGACAATGACCCCAAACATACGTCAAAAAGCACTCAGAAATGGATGGCAAAGAAGCGCTGGAGAGTTCTGAAGTGGCCAGCAATGAGCCCAGATCTAAATCCCATTGAACACCTGTGGAGAGATCTTAAAATTGCTGTTGGGAAAAGGTGTCCTTCCAATAAGAGAGACCTGGAGCTGTTTGCAAAGGAAGAGTGGTCCAAAATTCCGGGTGAGAGGTGTCAGAAGCTTATTGATGGTTATAGGAAGCGACTGATTTCAGTTATGTTTTCCAAAGGGTGTGCAACCAAATATTAAGTTAAGGGTGCAATACTTTTGTCCAGCCCATTTTTGGGGTTTTGTGTGACATTATGTCATATTTGCTTTTCTGCCTCTGTTTTATATTTGTTCCAATACATACAAAGGGAATAAACATGTGTATAGCAAAACATGTGTTAATGCAATACCTTTTTTGTGTGAAATACTTGATTTTCAGGAAAAATATCAAGGGTGCCAACAATTTCGGCCATGACTGTATATCATTATAT